TTTAAGACTTTATTTACTTATTTGAGAGAGAGAGAGAGAGAGGGAGGGAGGAGGAGCTGAGGAAGAGGGACTCTGAGCTGAGTGCAGAGCTTGACATGGGGCTCCATCCCAGGACCCTGAGATCAGGACCTGAGCTGAAATCAAGAGTTGGACGCTTCCCCGACTGAACCTCCCAGGCACCCCTGAAATACATACTCGAAGGATATATTGGTTGATTGATTTTTGGATTTTATTTATTTATTTGACACAGAGAGAGAGAGAGAAAGATCACAAGTAGACAGAGAGGCAGGCAGAGAGAGAGGGGGAAGCAGGCTCCCCGCTGAGCAGGGAACCCGATGCGGGGCTCGATCCCAGGACCCTGAGATCATGACCTGAGCCAAAGGCAGAGGCTTAACCCACTGAGCCACCCAGGCGCCCCTCGAGGGAAGTATTTAAGTAACAAGCAAGTCAGAAATTTAAGAGGTGGACTTTTCCTTCCCTGATGCGCTTGTTAGCGATGAACCTTTCTGGAGTGGAGGCGGCTTGCTCCGGGACGTGACCGTGCATTTCCCCGTGTGTCCCCGTGGCGGGAGCATACTGCAGAGACAGGAATGTGCCCTGTGCACAGGTCCTCGGCCCGTCCTAATCTCTTTCTCGGTGAGTAGCCAGGTATCTCCTTTGCTCTTCAACTGCCACGTGCTGTTCCACCAGGACGGCTGACCCTTGACTTACCGAACCTTTCCCAGTTGACGGGCATTTGCCTTCCTTCCGATTTTTCGCTGTGACAAATGACGCTGGGATTAAGTCATGCTCCAAATTACCTTATCGCATATGCACTCGTTTCTCTATGGCAGAGTCCCAAAGTTGGGTCAAGGTGTCACGCACATCTCTAGTTTTAACAAATACTGTCAAATAAACTTCCAAATTGGTTTTACGACTCTCCAAGTGAGTGTGTAAGAGACTCTGCTTCCAACTAAGCCTAACCAAACGCTGACACTGGAGACTGTCGTGTCTAAAACTTCATCAAATGAGTAGTTTTAAACACACACACACACACACACACACACACACACACACACACACACGCACACATTTATTTCAGTTTGTTATGGATAATGTCAGGCATCAGTATTTTCCCTACCAGTGAGTGGCTAATATCATTTGCTATGTTTGCTATATTCTCTATCAATAATGAATAAAATCTCAAAACAATCGAAATATCCCCAACAACAAAAACGGGACGACTCATGCATGCTAACAACTGGGGGAAAAACACCCAGACCCAAAGGATGCATTCTGGAAAAGGTAGAACTGTAGGTAGAGAAATCAGACCAGTGGTGGCCAGGGGCTGGGGGAGAGTTTTGCTACACAGGGAAATGAAGGAACTTTGGGGGCTGATGTAAATATTCTGTATCTCAATTGCGGTGGTAGATACGGGACTGTGTGGTTTCCCTCAGATGTGTAGGAACGCACACCAAAGAGGAATGAGTACGGTAGTGTCTCAATTATGCCTCCATCAGTGTGACTCAAACAAACAAACAAGGATCTAAACAAAAAGGGGTCAAACAGGAAGAGACAGTAAGAGGAGAGAGGCTCGTGCTCCAGCGTAGGGATCGCAACCCAGGAAAAGGTGAGGGGATGTCCAGGGTGAGACCTGCGCCATCAGCCAGCCGGCCTAGCGAGAAACCAGTCCGGACAGAAGGAAGAGAGAAGACATTTAGAGAAATGGTTTGTAAATTTAGCATTGTCATCAAGGTGACTTTTAACCTCAGGGGGAAACATACCTGAAATGGGTAGAAGGAGGGGGACCTGAGTGGCTCAGTCAGTAAAGCGTCTGCCTTCGGTTCAGGTCATGATCCCAGGGTCCTGGATCAAGCCCTGCATCGGGCTCTGTGTTCAGCCCGGAGTCTGCCTGTCCTTCTACCCCACCTCTCCCCTGCTCTTGTGCTTGCTCTCTCTCTCTCTCAAGTAAATAAAACCTTAAAAAAAAAATAAAAATAAAACGAGGGGCGCCTGGGTGGCTCAGTTGTTGGGTGTCTGCCTTCAGCTCAGGTCATGATCCTGGGGCCCGGGGATTGAGCCCCGCATCGGGCTGTGTGCTCAGCCCAGAGTCTGCCCCACCCTCACCCCTGCTCTTGTGCTCTCCTTCTCTCTGAAGCAAATAAAACCTTAAAAAAAAAATGAGGGGCGCCTGGGTGGCTCAGTCATTGGGCATCTGCCTTCAGCTCAGGTCATAATCCCAGGGTCCGGGGATCGAGCCCTGCATCGGGTTCCCTGCTCGGCGGGATGCCTGCTTCTCCCTCTCCCACTCCCCTTGCTGTGTTCTTGCTCTCTCTCTCTCTCTCTCTGTCAAATAAACAAATAAGATCTTTAAAAAGATAAATGAGTGGAATCAATAGAGCCACGTTGAGAGCATAAGGTGAAGACATGTAGTAAGTAGTGGTGTAAAGGAGCTAAATTTTCATCTCTCGGCCGGTAAGTCATGTCCCAAAATGATGGAAGGAAGGAAGGGAGCGAATGAAAGGAAAACAACAGAAAGGAGGGAGAGAATGAGGGCAAGTCAGAGCGACACAGGAGGAGAGAGACAGATCTGTGCTGTAGCCGCTGCAGCTGCCGCATCCAGTCAGGCGAGACGATCGTCGTGTCCGTTCGCCCCGTTCACGGTCGTCAGCATCACGGCCAGCAGCAACTCTCCGCCTTCAGCCCACACCAGAGACCTTCAGGTTCTGCAAAGGCAGGCTCTGTCTGCTCAGGCATATGAAATAGAAACACTTGAGCCCCATCCCCCCCAGGAAACACACACGAGCAACGGGTAAACAAAGCCCCGAAGACGACACCGGCTGTCAGGCTGTGGAGGGAGCCGGTCTGGGAGAAGGCAGAGAAAGGAGAGGAACCTTGCACTGCCGCAGCTTACTCTACGGAGGGAGTGTCTCCAGAGGGAGCCGAGCAGAGTCCGTGACTGGAGGGGACACGACGGGGAGAGTGCAGGACTTGAGCCGGCAGGACAAAGGACCCGAGACCAGAGAGCTGCCGAGGGACAGGGTGCTGGCCAGCCGCAGACGGTCCCGCCGGCGTAATCAGCAGCCCCCCGACCAGCACCAGCATGTGCAGAAACCAGCTGAGGCCGAGGAGAGGACCCCTCGCAAGGACGGAAGGTCAGCAGACCCAGCGCTCACGCAGGACAGGGACCAGCCGCCAGAATGGAACCGTCACCGTTCAGGAGGCCGCAGGCGGGGTACTCACAAAGGTCTCGCCTCTGGAGCGTGGAAGAAACAGCTTCTACACTGAAAGCTGCTCCGATCCCACGAATTTCTTTTTTTCCTTAAGATGTGTTTGTTTACTGGAGGTGGGGAGGGGCAGAGAGAGAGAGAGAGAAACCTCAAGCAGACTCCCCACTGAGCGCGGAGCCCAACACACGGGGCTCGGTCCCCGGACCCCGAGATCGTGACCTGAGCCGAAAGCAAGAGTCGGACACTTAAGCGACTGAGCCCGCCGGGCGCCCCTGGTCCTGCTAACTCTTAAAGGCGAGACTCCAAAGAACCCACCTGCGTGCAAATAACAGCATCCCTGAACGAAGCTTACGTTTTAGGAGTACACAGAGAAAAAGACACAGCGGCCAAGGTCAGATGCACAGCACCTGGCGTCCAATCCAAAATGACAAGGTGCGCAGGGAAGCACAGAAATGCCACCCCATGACAAGGAGGACAGCTCGATCCCATTTTCGTTCATTTTCCAGTGAACCGCAGGCCAGCTGTAAAGGAAGGTCGAAAACTGCTTTTGCTTACAGGTATCACGACCGTGTATGTAGAAAGCCCAAAGGGATCTCCGTGTTACTGGTCAGTCTCCCGAGGCTCCGAGATCCGGCTCTTTGGAGAGAGCAAACCCACCAACACCCCCGCGCCTCCCCACCCGGCACACACCTAGCCGGGGCCGCAAGGCTTCTCTGCTCATCGGAGACAAGCCCAGGAAGCCGCAGAATTGCTGTCATCCAGTTTCTGTGTTTACTCCCCTCCTTCAAAACAAGCTTTTTATTCTGGCAGCGAGCCAGCCCAGCGGTGATGTGGGGACACCAGAATGCCGGTGGGAGGGCACATTTTCTGGAGGGCAGTTGAGTAGTGTGTAGGTCGAGAAGCTGAAGAACATGGAAAGGAAAAACTCGGTAATTCTACCTCTCGGAATGAATCTTGAGGAAACCACCACTCGTGTCAAGACTTACGCTCTGGGGCCCCTGGCGGGGGGTGCTCAGTCGGTGAAGCATCAGCCTTCGGCTCGGGTCACGATCCCGGGGTCCTGGGATGGAGTCCCTCGTGGGGCTCCCTGCTCAGCAGGCAACCTGCTTCTCGCTGTCTACTCTCCCTGCTCGTGTTCCCTCTCTCTGTCAAATAAATACATTTTAAAAAAGACTTATGCCCAAGAATTCCACTGAATCGCTACCTGTAATAGGGGGAAAACAGAACGGTGTAACTGTCCAACATGACATTATAAGGCATTTTATGTGTCTAAGCAGTAACACCTTTTGAAGAGTTTTTAGTGAGTGAAAAAGCGAGTACGGTAAATGGGAAAAAAAAAAAAAAACAGGAAAAAAGCTAATGGCCATCTTAAAAATGCAAACATTCTATGCTGTTATATGTGGAAATACAACTAAGAAGATACGCGGGACGTCGATGGTATTTAGTGCCGAGTATGGCATTCAATTTTCTTTTCCCCAAGTTGTCTTGAAGAACCCTGTGCTGTTGGAACCTGTGTCCCAGAACCTCCTTGCCACAGGAGAACGAAGGTGACACGATCTGGGGGCACCGTAGCTGAAAGGAAACTCAGACACAGACGTAGTGGCTCAGTTTTATTTTCTGCAGCAGTAACAAACATTTAAGCGCCCTTTCCTCTCCCAACCGGGAAAGAAATCAAGTGGCCTGAGGGCCCCTGCGGGCAAACAATTAGACCCCGCTAACAAAGTGGTAACTACTCTAAGTCCCAACTCCCCTTGCCTTGACTTGGGGGGGGCCCCCGCACAGGGCTGGGCCTCAGGTCTTCTTTCCCGGGCCTAGGCTTCGCGGAGGCGGGGTCCCAAAGCCCCGAATGTTCCGGATCACCAGGGAAAGCTGGTCGAGGAAGGAGTTGATGGAAATTCGGAAGAACACAGGGTCTTCGGCAGTCCATCTACTAAAAGAAAGGCAAAAGGCAAATAAGGTTGCGGGGGACAAGTGGGGCGGAGGTGCGGGGCATCGGGCCCCTCCTCGGCCTCCGCGACGAGGGCACTCTAAGACACAGCGGCCACCCGGGCACCTGCCGCCGCCGCCCACCCCCAACCCCCCCTCTCCCGCCCCGCATCCTCTTCTAGGACTGACACGGCCAGGGCGCTGCCATTCACCGCCAGCTCCTTGTGAACCACCCCTCCGTGGCGCTGGGCATGTGGGGCCAGGGACCTGCGGGCCATGTCCGCCTCCAGGGGCGACCGGAAAGGCACAGTGAGCGTGCTGGGGGGACGCACGGTTAAGGCACCATCCGCTCCTGAATCTCCCAGTGCTGGGCCTCCTCGCCCCTCAGAGGCCGGCTTGCACGCCACGACGGCCCCCCGCGCTCCCTCCCGCCCCCGCAGCCCCCCCCAGGCTGCTCCCGGGACCCTTCGGGCCTCCTTCCCACCTCCCCACCCCCACCCCCTGCAGGCCCTGGGGCCCCCACCGCCCCGTCCCGCCAGGCCGCCCCCCACCTCCGTGCCCTCCCCGGGCTGCCACCGCGTGCCCCGGCCGCCCCGCGGAAAGGATACAACTCCAGCAGTCGGCTGGCGGCTGCCACAGGTGCGGGCGCCGCATCCCCACCAGGCCCCAGGGCCTGCGGGCCCTGCCCGGCCTGAGGGGCGCCGGCCGCCTCGCCCTCTGCTCCCTGGCCGCCCGCGCCACTGGCGTCGTCGCCTTCCCGGCTGCCGGAGCTCTTCGGGCAACCAGGAGCTCCAGGGCTGGCCGGGCGGTCCTGGCCGGCCTCGCCGCCCGCCGCGCCGGCCTCGCCGGCCTCGCCGGCCTCGCCGGCCTCGCCGGCC